GTGAGGAGAAAGAAGGCGCCATCAAAGAGGTCGAAGGGAAGAAAGCGCTCCTCGAGATCAAAGAGCGGGAATTCAACACGCAGACGAAGGTGCACGAGATGAATAAAGAGAACGAAGGCACCGCCATTTCCGAGAGGTGGGATTGATGAGTTGTGGGCCATTGGGTGCGCTACTTCTGTTCCTGAACATTTATTTTTTGTGAAAGAAGGTAAACAGACACGTCCCAGGATGGTGTTGCAGGATCCAAACAGACTCGGTCACCGGGACCCAAGGTTTATTCTTGCAAATCTTTGGGGCTCATGCTGGACCCTAACCACTGGGGACCTCTCTCTGTCTCTCTCTCTCCAGAATGTGTGCACTGGGCTGTTCTACGCGTTGTGTTCATATGCTGCCTGGCAATGAAGTAGTAGTAGTAGTAGTAGTAGTAGTAGTAGTAGTAGTAGTAGTAGTAGTAGTAATAATAATAATAATAATAATAATAATAATAATAATAATAATAATAATAAAGTTGGAAGGGACCTTGGAGGTCATCAAGTCCAACCCCCTGCTCAGGCAGGTAACCCTATACCATTTCAGACAAATGGCTGTCCAGTCTCTTCTTAAAAACTTCCAGTGTTGGAGCATTCACCGCTTCTGGAGGCAGGTTGTTCCCCTGGTTAATTGTTCTAACTCTCAGGAAGTTTCTCCTTAGTTCTAGGTTGCTTCTCTCCTTGGTTAGTTTCCATCCGTTGCTTCTCGTCCTGCCTTCAGGCGCTTTGGAGAATAGCTTGACTCCCTCTTCTTTGGGGCAGCCCCTGAGATACTGGAAGACTGCTATCCTGTCCCCCCTCGTCCTTCTCTTCATTAAACTAGACATACCCAATTCCAGCAACTGTTCCTTATATGTTTCAGCCTCCAGTCCCCTGATCACCTTTGTTGCTCTTCTCTGTACTCTTTCTAGAGTCTCAGCATCTTTTTTACATCGTGGTGACCAAAACTGGATGTGTGGCTTTTAGTTATTAATTAGGGTGTTGACGGCCGGCTATTAAGATAATGGATGTTTTCTCATGCCACGGTGCCCTCGAGCCCTAAGTAGCTGGTAGGCTGGTGGTAAATCTGCCCTCCCGTGGACTGACCAGAGGCCCCTTTTTCCCATTGTTCAATTATTTCTCTGGCTGTTTTTGTCTCTGCTCGGCCAACAATCGTAATAGCTGTGAAACGGAACGCGTGCCTTCCCTTTATTTCTTACCACGGTTTCAAGGTAGCTTTACACGGTCACCTTTTTTTGTCCTAACCAAAAACCTCTTTTCTGCCCTGGCGCAGGGGCATGTTGGAAATGGGTTTTCGCAACGTCTCCAACCTGAAGCAGAAACTGCACGATACGCTGAGCCGGATGCAAAGGGAAAAAGAGAAGGACCTCAGGACTTTTAAAAAGATGGAGATGCAGCTGAAAATTGCCCAGGAAAGCCTGCTACAAGTTCAGGGGCATCACGAAAGGATGCTTTTAGAGGTGCGTGCGGGTCAGTCTGAAGAGCAGTGTTTTGAGTTTTATTACTTCTCCTGCTCTTTGGATCGAACACTGTTCAAGTGTGACTGCTAAGAAGAGGGTAACCGAAGGACGGAATGCAATAGACCAGTGATGGCGAACCTTTTAGAGACCGAGTGCCCAAAACCCGACCCCTGCCCCCGCTCCACCTCCCGTCCTGCTTGTTCCGCCCCGGCCCGCCCTCTGCCCCGCTCACCGGACCATGCACCGCTTCCATGGCCCGCGGCATGGAAGCCTCGGGCCATGGAAGCCCAGGCAGCCCTACAGCGCCATGGCAGCCACGCCCTCTGCGCCCTGCAGCTTCATCTGCATGCTATGAGGCACGAGGGCGGAGTCTTGTCCCTGCTGCCTGGCTATGTCCTTGGCTGCGCTGCTCCGTGCAGGCTGCGCCCAGGGGCGACTCTCCTCCAGGGGGGCTGCTGGTGAGGGGGCTGCGGGGGGGAGGTGGGACTGGGGCAACAGCGCGCGTGCCCACAGAGAGGGCTCCGAGTGCCGCCTCTGACACGCGTGCCATAGGTTCGCCACCACTGCAATAGACATTTGGTAGGTTTTTTTTGGGGGGGGGGAGAAAGATAATACAAATTGAAGATTTCTGAAGCTATAAGACAGTGATGGCGAACCTTTTAGAGACCGAGTGCCCAAACTGCAACCCAAAACCCACTTATGCATTGTCAGGTGCTGGGTGGGTGTGGCCCATTGGGTGGGCATGGCTGCGATGGTAACGGTAGACGGGGTGGGACTAAAAAGTTTAATCAATCAATTCCAACTTTGCAAGATCTTTTTTTTCCCCGCGAGAAGTTGAAATTGACTGATTGATTGAACCTCTTTTTGTTTGCACACGGCGGCGGAGGCCTAAAGCGAAAAGGTTTTATAAAACCCAGCTGAAGACCTAAGACTGGGGCGACGGCGCGCGTGCCCACAGAGGGGGCTCTGAGTGCCGCTTTTGGCACCCGTGCCATACGTTCGCCACCACTGCTATAAGACTTTGGCAATTTTTATTATATCAGCGGTCCCCAACCTTTGCGACTTGTGCAAGTTGAGCTGCGCGTGTGTACGCGTGCCGGCCAACCACATGGGTTTCAAATATGGCCTCCTTCTTCTTCTTCTTGTGCCATATCCGTTATCGGACGTTGGCGATCCTGTTGGCGATCCTGTTTTTATCAGCAGCCGCACGAAAAAGTGCGGCTGAGTTTTGTGCAAACCAGTCCCTGAGATTTTGAAGCCACGATGTTCTTCTTCTGCCTGGACCTCGTTTGCCTTCAAATCTTTCCCTGGAGGATGAAATGGAGTATGCTGTATTTTTTCTGGGTGTCGCATTACATGTCCGAAATATTCTAATTTTCGTTTTTTAATTGTTTTGATGATTTCTCTCGGCTTTCCCAGGCGGCTTATCCCCTCCTCATTTCTGATCTTGTCAACCCAGCTTCTACGTAACAGCCGCCATCTGTAAATCCACATTTCAGATGCTTCTAGTCTCTCCAGGTGGCCTTCTGTCAGAGACCAACTCTCTACTCCATGGAGCAGGATAGAGAAAATATAGCATCTGATGAGCCTGATTTTCAAGCTTCTGTCATGACTGCAGAAGACCTTTTTCATTTTGAAGAATGCTTTTTCGAGCTTTCTCTCTCCTTGTCTTTACAAATATGGCCTTGGTTACATTAAAATAATGCGCTTCCCTTCTTTCCTGTACATAACCTCATTTTGTTTTGTTTTTTTCCTTGTACAGATAGATGCCGTCCCCAAAGACGACGGGGCGATATTAGAGAGGCGACGGGAGCTTCAGAGAGAGGTCGAAATAGCAAAGAGAAATCTGACTCAAGAGGTAGTGGCACAACTATTCTCCATCCATCTGCCCAGCAGGCCAAACCTTTCATCTGATGCTGCTCTCCACATGCGCTCGCCGATATCTTAAAGAACAGAAATGTTATTTCTTGTTTTTTTTTAAAAAAAGGAATTATCTCCGGGAAAGCAGAAATGTTACTTCTTTTTTAAAAAAAATTCAGTGTCGCGTACTTACGCTATTCGTATTTCAAGTAGTCAGAAAGCGCTACGCAAAACCAACGTTCATTATGTTGACTTGTGTAGCTGCCCGCCTCGAATTTGTGATTCTGGGCAGCTCGCTGAACGAAACAGCCGAGCAAAAGGGGCAATAAACAACGCACAAGTATTCCTAGAACCCATCAACCGGGTTACAAAACCAAATTAAAAGCGTAATAGCATGGAGGGTCCGGGATGCTGGGAACGGTGAGTGGAATAAGAAGGGACAAGCAAAGAACAGGCTGGCATCACCACACAGAGGCCATCCATATCCTCCTGTCTGTCCCTGAGGAATGGGCACTGTGCTTGCAAAAGAAAAAAGAAATAGTCGCTTAGCAGAGTGATTTCAACTCAATCACTTATAAGTAATATTTTTATTAATTTACTTTAGGTCAGCATTGCATGTATCTATCATCTCTCTCTCTCTCTCTCCCTCCCTCCCACCATCCATCATCTATTTATCATCTCTGTCATGTATCCTATCTATCTATCTATCTATCTATCTATCTATCTATCTATCTATCTATCTATCTATCTATCTATCTATCTATCTATCTATCTCCATCCATCATTCATCTATCTGTCATCTATTTGTCAATCTCTCTCTCTCTCTCTCTCCCTCTTTCCCATCATCCATCCATCATCCATCCATCTATCTATCTATCTATCTGTCTGTCTGTCTGTCTGTCTGTCTGTCTGTCTGTCTGTCTGTCTGTC